CGCGCAAGGTGAACAATCAATCAGATGATGGAACGAATTCCAGTGTTGTAAAACATAAAAGTACGAAAATGAAAAGATAAATATTAAAAAGGCAAAACATGCAGAAAAAGGCAATATAATCAAAAACGGCAGAAAAGACAATATTAAAATTAATGCGTTTAATCAAGAAATACATGAAACGTGTGATTCTTTAAATTGTTTATAGATACGACCAAGCAGACATAACGCAAAAGCCTTAAAATCCTAACCCTGGTTATCAGACATTTTATGCGCACAAATAAATTAATTACTTAAAAAATTTTCTATAAATTACAAACATTTTCATAAAGGTGGTATCTGTACCCTGGACTGAGAAATCACGGGCCCTTATATATTTTAATTTAATTAATTTTAAAGCATGTGATCAATTGAGAGTTTTCCATGTAGGATTTCTGTAATGTATAGGGTCAGAAACAATCAGTACAAATCGGAATATATTTGTGATAAAAGCCTATAACGAAGGACCAGTTTCTAGTGAAAATATAGAAAAATATTTGTTGCTAAAATGAATTAAATTTTTGTTTTATTAAACTGTTAATTATAAATATTTTGTGCTCAATTAGCACTTTCTATATATGAACTTTTCTCACTTTCTGAGCAGCAAAGTATTTTATGACCACATGAAAATCCAGCTGCTTTGCCAGACGGGCCTGTCTGTACCCCGTAAAATTATGAGAAATACCTAATTGAAATAAATAATAAATTGAGATAAGCAAATCTGAAACAGTATTACGGTGTCCTACAAGGTTAAAAGGATGAAATATAACACAATACCTAAATTGCTAAAATATGCATAAATCAACCAGAAATTTTCGAAGGCATTAATACTTAAATACTTCATATTAGGGTAATAAATTAATTACAAGTATTTTTGTAATTTTACACAATTTCGGCAAATTCTAGTGAAGCACGAGCAAGCTGAAATTATTTATCGAAAGCGTGTTTACACGGGAAAGTAGAAAAAGCTCCTGCGTTGCCACGTCTAACCGCAACTTATATTTAAATTTCCATTTCACGCGGATTATTTCCCGCACGGAAATTGCTGCCCTTTATTAAGCTGCCCTGCAGAAAAAAATTATCAATTGATAACAAATAACCTACTTGTAGTTAGCTTTTTTGTGGGATTTCTATAAAATATATAACTTGTAGTAAGCTACAAAAAGCTAACTTGAAACAAGTGGACAAGTAATGCAAGAGTAAAGCTCGAGATTGTTTTCTTTAAACGCGTTTCTATTTAAATATCCTGCACTTCGCAAATACTTTTTCGAATTGAGGACAAATGAAAAGAAGATCGAAATTTTATATTATCATTTTGATGTTATGTCTGACGTAGCTCGAATATGGGATCACCTACTGCAGAATATGTAAACAAATAAGAAATGTGATGAAATAAATAAAGTAAATAAATAAAAAAAAAAACAAAAACAAATAAAAAAAATATTTTGTTTTTCCTATTGATATTTTATGCCCAAAAGTAGTTAGTTACAAGCTAGTTACATCAAATGCAGAGGTAACCACCCTTGACTACATCTAATGCCGAGGTAACCACCCTTGACTATTTCGCGGCCATCGCCATAGAAATATAGTTAGCTTTCGTGAAGGAAAGTATACCGATAATAAGTGACTTATAGCTCCTTCCTAATGAACTTAAAATTAGTTTATAGTTAAATACATTTCCTACAGGGTGATGTAAGTTGTTAGTAGAGTACTTTAAATTGAAAATGGCGCCACTATAATCAAAATGCAAATATCGAGAAGCAAACACATTAGCGTTGTCAATTAAAGTAAATATGGACAGAAAGCTTCTGCAGACAGTGTAGCGTGAACTCCTTAATTGAACAATTGTACATATGTATGTACATATATGAGTGTATTTACATATACATATACATATGTATGTCATGTGAAGGAATTAGTGATATAATATTCTACTCACTATATACGCATTAATATTTTCGGAATTTCAAAATTTGCTATGGTAAACGACTTTCCCTTTTTTTATACCCGAGCGCACTTGTGCACAAGGGTATAACAACTTTGTTCACAAAACGATTGTTTGAACAGCCAAAACGAATCGAGATAGATATAGGCGAATGTATACATAAATGATCAGAATGAAAAGAGAAGTCGATTAAGCCATATCTGTCTATCCGTCCGTCCGTCCGTGTACACGATATCTCGAGATATCTCAACGAAATTTGGTATGTAGACTGCCCTTTACCCAAGGTAGGGTGGTATTGGAAATGGACGAAATCGGACCGTAACTACGCTCACTTCCCATATAGTTTTCAGAAATATGAAATCTGCATTATTTTAGTAGCTACTGAAGCTTATACAATGACTTTTAGACATAAAATGAGAATATTATAAATTTTTGGAAAATGGGCGTAGCCACGCCCACTTATGATTACATGTGTATAACTTGGTAACCGCTGCACCAATTTCTCCAAAACGCTTATGATAAAAATTTGGAAAATGGGCGTGGAGGATTTATTCTTCTAAAGATATATCACCAGAAAATATAATAATACGCTCTTTAAAATACACTTATGCAAGTTTTATGCACAGTATGTAATAAATAAATACACTTTTTAAAGTTTCATAAATTGCACTTTGTTTTCAAAAAATTAACAAAAAACTCAAACATTTTTAACCGACTTCAAAAAAGGAGAAAGTTATCAATTCGTCGGAGAATTTATTTTTTTTGAAGTATGTTACCGCATAACTTTGGACCATGTGAACCGAATTCAATACTTTTTTTTATCGGATAGATGGTCGTCCCGTAATTTGGTTCAGATCCGATCATTGGATCATGAAGAAATTAACGGTACTCCTTAATTTGTATATGAGAATTGAAGTCGGTTGTGTTTTTTGTAAAAAATTACTTGTTTAATAAGAAGTTATATACGCACAAGATGCGCTCAACTTTGAGAAATTAAAAAAGAATTTTGATAAAAATAAATTAATCAATTCCAAGCAATTTTTACAATTTTATGCTCATTTTCCTCGATTTCTGATTTCTGATTTTCGATAGAGACACAGAATTTTTTAGCCTAGGATCCAGTGTATATCCGTATGAAAAAATACAGCCCAACGAGTAAACAAAATTACTGTTTTTAAAATTTTTAGTAGTAATAAATTCTGCAAAGAGCCCCATTTAAATTATTGAAACGAATATATGTAACATCAAAAGAAAATCACGAAGATTTGGTTAAGAATTACAATGTACACTTTATTCTTTTGTAGTAGTTTTTTTTAACATTGGTAAAAAAAAATCATAATAAAAAAAGAAACCAAGTATTTAAAGCATAGAAAAAAAGTTATTAAAAGGACTATGTTCTCTTTGACGTACGTCAAAGGTCAAGTAGAAATGGAAACTTGTATGACTGCCCATTGATAGCTTGGTTATATAGCTTAAGAAATAATAAGGAAATTCATCAAATCGCGCAAATGCCTCGTAACCATGTAAACCTCGTAAACTTACTTAATTTTGAATGAAAAATCGAATTATTTGCGAGGTTTACGCGTTTCGAGGCATTTACGCATTTCCATGAATACCCATAATATGTTTAAAGACATTTTTATCATTATTGGCTACAATTTGTTATTTTGTTTGCCAGATGTACACTTTATAGGTGCTCTTGCACAACATTCGCATTCGCAAAAGCTCCGCATTGATTATTGCGAATGAGAATGTTAACATTAATGCGGAAGCTCCGCGGTTGCGAATGCGAATATTCGCAACAACCCTGGTGCTAACTAACAGCGCTAACCACCTCTAGGCTGTGTTGCCTCGACAGCAGAGTGTCATAGCTCAATTGTGCCACCTCAAAGAGCTGACTCATTGAAATGAGCTTGAGTCACTTCGTCTGTAGACCAGTGATGCTAATAATTTTTTGAAAACATCCCTACCGCTTCACAAGAAAATCCCTACTTTTCCCTACGCAAATATAATTTTTCCCTACAAGTTTCCCTACATATCTTTTTCATACATCGAAATGAATCAAACAATCTTTTGCAAATTCATCTTTTATTTTAAACATTAGCAGCAACTTATAATCTTCGCTCCTTTATTCAGACTCTCATTTTGTGTTATTTATAATAATAGTTGCGTTCCAGATGCTTCACGATTTGCAGGTTTTTACAGGAAGTAGTTCCAGGTGACCACCTTTCATAAGGTTTATTAATGGAGAAAACAGCTGTTTCTGAAAATCGTGAATATCGTGAAGCATCTGGAACGCAACTAATATAATCGCGTAAATTGTACCTAGCCGTGGAAAAATGTAGATGAATACGCGGTAAAAATGGCATTAAGCAAGCTTGGATCAAGTGAGTATGTGAGGGCAGACAAAGTACATACTCTTGCTGTTCAGTGCGTGTGATCAAGCACATATGAAGATTTAACTTGCTAACATTCGTTAACACATTGAAATAATTTCAACTCACTAATAATTTAATCGGTGACTTCGACAACCATACAAGTCCAAAATGAATTTTTCATTGTTGAGATCAAAAACAGTACAAGTCACAAATATGCATGGATTTTCTCTAATTTCACCATTCTAGGTGCTTAGCCGTTAACATAGCTGGTTGCACCCGTCAAATTGGGAGAAAAGCCGTACATGTCTGTACTGTTTTTGATTTCAAAACCAAAAACTGAAAGTCTGTCCTGTTTTCCCTACATCGCATATTTAAGGCTGCATTTCCACACATGTAGCTTCTTTTCCTTACTATTGGCATCACTGCTGTAGACCTGGACATAGACACAGATAGTGGTCAATTTACTCTTCCTCATCTTCATCATGGCAGCGTTGGTATTCGCCACCGTTGGAGCATTGGTGCTATAGCACAGTGTCCTGTGATGACGCCGGTAAGGACTCTTACTGCATATCGATTGAGTTTCAGTATGTCCCTTGTCTTTTTCCTACTAAGCCGCGGTCATAATAATCTTGTAGTCTCACAGTCTTCCCGTTTGTTCCACAAGTCATTCGTCACGGCCACAGTGTACTCATTAATTTGCCTAACATTATCACTAAACGGTGGTTGTACAAATCTATCCGCTTCTTCTATTGGCATCTCTGAGCCACATCTAGCCATCTCATCAGCCGACTCATTCCCTTCAATATTGGTATGTCCGGGAACCCAGCATAGAGTGACGTGGATACGGCTCAGTGACGCCAGCAGCGTGGTGCGACATTTCCATACAATTCCCGATTTCCATATTCTAGATCCTATTGCCTTCAGTGCTGTTTGACTGTCGTTAAAAATAGTGGCTTTGTCTTCTGGCTCCGGTTTCTTGTTCCATCTTTGAACCGTGAGTGTGGATGGATTTACCTCCCTCTGCTACTGACGTGGCTTAGTACCTTTCCTATTATTTTCTTGTTATTCCCTTTGTCTAGAGCTCTCCACCATACAAAGGACCCGTGGGTTGCAATAGGTTTAATCAGTGTGGCGTACATCCGATAAGTGACGTACGGTGATAGTCCCCATTGCTTTCCAAAGGTCCCTTTGCACGTTCTTGACTCTCCTCTCTAAATTCCTCTTCCAATTTAACTTGGAATCCAGAATAAATTCTTAGGTATTTTGCCTCGGAGGAGAGTTTCAAAGTGGATTCCCCCAATTTTGGCAGAGAAAAAGTGGATACTTTGGTTTCCTTGTAAACAATACCAGTTCTGCCGTGGAGGGGTTTACCTCCCAATCCCTTCTGGTTGGCCCACTTAGAGATATCACCTAGTGTACTCTCCATTAGTTCACTTATCGTTGACAGGAATTTGCGTGATGATGAGTATTAATAAATCGTCAGCGTAGGCGACCACCCTTATTCGCTTGGTTTTAACAATCTCAAGAATTTCGTTCACCACCAGGAGCCAGAGGTGTACCCCTGGTGGTTTTCCTTCCCACAGATCCCGTGCCTATGGTGGCGTTGATTATTCTGCTCTCTAGCATGGAGTCAATTCATGCCACTATATAGGGTTGCCAGACGTACTGCTTTTGGGAGTAAACGTACTCCTTTATAGTCCAATGTACTCCCTTGTACTCCCAAAAAAAAATATCTGGAAATGTACTACTTTATTAGCTTTGTACTTCTTTTAAACTCCTTTTTCCAGCTATTAATATTTTATCATATACAGAGTGTAAAATAATATCTGTTGCACAGTTTTTTTTTTTAAACATAAAAGGGGCCTTTATAGATTTTGCGAAAAAGTAGTTTATTGTTAATTATCCACAGATTTTATTTCAATTTTATTAATTTGTTTTTAAATTTTAACCTTCATTTGGGTTTACTGACGGTAAACACTTTGAGAGAAAAGCGCAAGTAAAACATGTAAGAAAGTCTAAGTTCGGGCGGAGCCGAACATTAAATACCCGGCGCAAATATAAAATATATGTTTTTTCACCATTCCGAAACCTACCGCTAGATGGTAAGCCGGGGTGTATCAATTTTGAGTAAATTAGCGTCCTTCAATTTCGAAATATTGAAGTTTCAAGCATTTCTGAAATTTACCGTTATATGAAAAGTGGCCGTAATTTTAGTCCGATTTCAATAATTTTCAACGCTTTGCTTTCATGTGGCAAGCACAATAACCACACCGAGTTTGGTACAAATTGGTAGAACCGATATACATATATGTGATCATAAGTGAGCGGTGCCACGCCCATTTTCCAAAATTTTACCATAAAAGTTTTTCTTGGTAAGGAATTGTTGCAAGCATCAATTTTGAATAAATTAGCTTCAATATTTACAGATTTATCGAAAATTTTGTGTTTCTCTAAATTACCGTTATATGGGATGTGGGCGTGGTTATCGTCCAATTTTAAAAATTTTCGGCGATTTTGTATGCTGTACCAAGGCCAAAAACTGTGCCAAGTTTGGAAGAAATTGGTGCAGCGGTTCCTAGGATATACACATGTAACCATAAGTGGGCGTGGCTACGCCCATTTTCAAAAAATTTATAATATTCTTATTTTTCGTCTAAAAATTGTTGTAAATATCAATTTTGAGTGAATAATCTTCAGTAGTTACTAAAATATCGCAGTTTTCGTATTTCCGAAAATAACCGTTATATGCGATGTGGGCGTGGTTATTGTCCGATTTTAAAAATTGGCCGTTTGTTATGCTGTGCGAAGGTTAACAACTGTGCCAAGTTTGGAAGAAATTGGTGCAGCGGTTCCTAAGATATACACATGTAACCATAAGTGGGCGTGGCTACGCCCATTTTCCAAAAATTTATAATATTCGTATTTTTCGTCTAAAAATTATTGTAAATATCAATTTTGAGTGAATTATCTTCAGTAGTTACTAAAATATCGCAGTTTTCGTATTTCTGGAAATTACCGTTATATGGGAAGTGGGCGTGGTTACAGTCCGATTTCGCCCATTTTCAATACCAACCTGCCTTGGATTAAGGGAAACCTACATACCAAATTTCGTTGAGATATCTCAATTTTTGTTCGAGTTATCGTGTACACGGACAGACGGACAGACGGCCGGACAGACAGACATGGCTTAATCGATTTCTTTTTTCATCCTGATCATTTATGTATACATTTGTCTATATCTATCTCGATTCGTTTTGGCTGTTACAAACAACCGTTATGTGAACAAAATGAATATACCCTTGTGCACAAGTGCGCTCGGGTATAAAAAGTAGTTATTGTATAGTTTTTAAATTTAACCTTCATTTGGGTTTACCAGGGGGTTTGGGAGAAAAGCGCAAGTCTTCGTCGTTTACTTTATTACATATCTCCTGTAACCATAGGCTAATTTCCCCCATTTGGGTCCTTTATACTCCGTCTTTTGTCCAACATAAGGCCTCATACTTCGCAATCGAAAAGACTCGAAACTGGTGACTAGGAGGGCATTCATTCGACCAACCCTATACAGATTTTTTGTCTTTTTTTATACAAAATCTAAGAAAAAATACACCTGAACCGCATGTACTTATCTCCCAAAGCTGGCAAATGCAAATCAGGATTAAAATTTTAAAACCAATTAATAAAATTAAAGTAAAATATTTACAAAGTTAACAAAAAAAACATAAACTCTATAAAGAACCCTTTTATTTTTCAAAAAACCTGTGCGACAGTTATTATTTTGCGCGCTGTACTCTACCATTCATATTGTGACAAACACTACTTAGTAAGCAAAGTTAAGTGTGATAGTGAAAAGGTGTAAGCATGGCCTTAGAGGCAGGGCGCTCGGGTATAAAAATCAGAAAAATATTAAATTAATTACAAGGCTTAAATTAAAAAAATTACCATACATTCAGGAAGAGTCTGGAATTCTTTTGTAGTTTTCAGTTTTTTAGTTGGGCAAACTTTCCTATAAGAGCGGTCACTGAGAACCGAATTCTACGCAAAAATACTGTGGACGCGAGTGAAAATTGTGACTTTTGGCAATTTTTCTAAAGGGTCCCTGGGGACCCATAGGGGTCCTAGGTGGTCGGGAGTAACATTTTTTTCAATGGCGGTTCATGCCCTCTCCAAAAAGGTCGGAAAAGGTGCCACGTCCACTTCCCCTTCGATGACCATCTCTTTAACAACCGTCCCTATTGGAAAGCCAACCCATATAGTTATTTATTTTTCACATTTATTGTTGCTTTGAAAAAAATTTCTAAGATATCTTTGTTTGTTTGTACCTAATTAATGGTAATTTGTAACAATAAATTGCACAAAAAAAAAAAAAAAAAAAATTGTACTCCTTTTTTATGTCATGTACTGCTTTTTTTCTATCGAGAATATAAATGTACTCCTTTCTCCGTTTCAAAATCTGGCAACCCTACCACTATAGGATGCTGAATGCCGCGCTCAGAGAGTACCTTACTTATCGCCTCCATTTGAACATTATTGAAGGCCCCTTCTATATCCAGGAAGGTGGCAAGGGTGTATTCCTTAAGTTCCAGCGATTATTCCATAGTGCCTACCACTTCGTGGAGCTCGCTTTCAACAGATCTACCCTTGCGGTATGCGTGTTGGGATTGTGTGGATACTAATACTTTCCGCAATAAGTAGATCGATTAGTCTCTCCAGTGTTTTTAGTATGAACGATGCAAGACTTATCGGTCTGAAGTCCTTTGGCTGTGAGTGGTTTATCTTCCCTGCTTTGGGGATGAATATAACCTTCACCTCCCTCCATGCCTTGGGTACATATCCGCTTCTAAGCATCTTGCGAAAATGCTTGTCAAATGGGGCACCATACTCCCATGAGTATTGTAGGATAGCGGGAATCATGCCGTCCGGTCCCGCTAATTTCTCGTTGTTCATAATATCTGAAACCTCTTCTAAAAGAGCACGAGACCGATTTGTCACATGATTACTGACAATTTGGGCCGCGCTGCCTGGAAAGTGGGTGTCTATTAAACATTCAAGAGTTTCCTGGCTGCAGGCCGTCCAAGAGCCATCTGGCCTCAAGACGCTTCCCAGAGTCGCGTCCGACCTGGTTAGTACCATTTGTGGTCTCCAGCGTTCCGCAGAACTCTCGACAGGATTCATTCTTTTCAGCCTTAATCCTACTCTTGTATTTGTTAAAGCTGGTTCTATATTTGTTCCACTCTTCGTCACGTCGGCTGCCTTTAGCCTCGTTGAAGAGCTTTCGTGCCATCGATCTGAGTTGGCCCAGTTCTTCGCTCTACCATATCGGCTTGGGCTTTGATCGTGGTTGAGATATAGGACAACTCTGCTCGAAGCACTTGGCCTGGCCAAGTCACGTTTAGACGATTAACTGCCCTATCAAGATTAGCATTCCCCGTCTAACTTCGGTTTTCATTGAGCTTAGTGTGTTGGACGCCAATTTACAGAAAGTTTTCAATCCGCTTTTCGGATGAGTTAACGATTGTTAAATGTAAGCAAAAAGGAATCACCACCACCCAGTGCATCACCAGAAGTCAAGAATGATAGAAGTCAAGATTGCACTGTCCTGGTGGCGATGACATATCTAAGTAAAAGTAAACAAAGCCGAATAGGTGGTTAAAAGAAACTGTCAAAGCAGTCAATTTTCTTAATATAAATTTTATTCGGTGAGTTTTTGGTTGTGAGCTTTGAACCCGGCGTACACTGCATTTTCTCACGGTTACAGAATCCAGCCCGGAAAGTGGGTT